AAATCAAATCGAAAGAAATGGAAATGGAAATGGAAACGGATTAGGACAATATGAACCATCTGGTTTTGGTTCTTCTCCTGCTGATTCAATCTTATCTCATCAAACTCAAATCTTAGGTCCTTCAATGATGAAAGATGAAATTAGTTCTTTGATTGGTAGTCCAGTCTTTAATGGTAAATCTGGATCAGTTGAAGGTCATCAAGATTTAAATAATTTAGAATCCAAGTAAGTGATCAGTTTTTGATTTGATTTCATGATAAGGAAATGAAAGATTTCAAAAAATTATTAATCAATAATTTCTTATTGTTTTCTCTTTTGTAGTAATGTAGTTTTGAATGAGAAAAGAAGAAAAAGAAGAGAATCACATAATGCAGTTGAAAGAAGAAGAAGAGAAAATATAAATGATCGAATTTCAGATTTGTTTACACTTTTACCTTCTTGTATGATTGAAGGAGGAAATGGAAATGGAACACTAGAAGAAGGAAGTAGTAATGGTAATCAAGATCAATACGGGAATTCTAATCTGACTTCTTCAAACAATCTTAACAATCCTAAACATAATAAAGGATTCATTTTGACTAAGTTGAGTTTTTGAGTTTCGATTTGATGTTTTTTGGCTTTTTGGCTTATGGGTTTCTTGAGATGATTTTAAGAAAACTAATTTTCATCTTTTTCTGCTGCTTTGTTAGATCTGTGGAGTATATTAAACAACTAAAAGATATGGTCTCACAACATATTCAAGAAAACCATCAATTAAGATTAGAAATTGAATTACTCAAGAACCAAAACCAAAACCAAACTGTTAATTCAAATTCGAAACCTAATGATGTTTTTTTAGTGAATCATAATCCACAACAACAACAACAACAACAACAACCGCATTCATCAAACCAATGGAATCATCATAACCATCATCATCATCATCACCATCATCCTGATGAAGGGTTTATGAATCTTGAATCATAATGAGAAGAAAAAAATTATCTCTTTTTTTTACTTTTGTACATGAAGATACATAACTTTTTTTTTGGTTACTGTTTTTTGTTTTACTTTTCTTTTATATATATATATCAGAAAGAAAGAAATCCAAATGAATGGCCGGTGTACTATTAAGTTTTTTCTTTAGTTTTTCTAGTTTTTTTTTAGTTTTTTCTAGTTTTTTAGGTTTTCCTTTTTTTTTAGTTTTTGTCTCTAAGTAGTAAAGTTTTCATTTTTTTCTGCTTTTTTTCGTTTGAAAGGGGTTAAAGAAAAGATGAAATATGTGTACATAATAATAAGAATATAAGAATAAGAATAATAATGATTTTATATATAAATATATAAAGTTTCTTTTCTGAGCTATTTTTTTGACATTTATTGATACATGACTTTTTTTGATTAAAAACAAAACAAGAAATGGTTTTGGATGATAATTTTTTGCAAAACTTGAAGGAAAAAAAATAGTTGATGAACATCATTATGATTTGATTCAAAAAACTTATACAATAGTCACCGCCAAGAAATTTGCGTCGGGAAGCCCTTCCCGTTGTCAATTCGGGGACGGTGCCCCGATTCAGTATCACGCCCAAGCCATGCAATGGAACAGGTTTGCGATCTACAATCGAACATGATTGGCGCGACTGAATCCCCAGTCCGATTCAGAAACAGTCGGGCTCATCCGATGGAGCTCAGCTCCGATATAAAGCCGCATGAGCGACACCCGACTGATCCTCATTCCGATTCAACCTCGCGAAATGCTGCTTCGACTCAACCCTACGTGCGATGGAATTGTCTCATCGCGTAACTTTCACGCGACGGTCCATCCACCGTCCCGCCCCGATGCAATCCCGGATCCGATACGAGACCGGTCATTTCATTGCGACCCAATCCCATATACATCCGATGCAACATCATTTGCGGAATAACTTCGGATTGATCCTTGCGATCCAATCCCCCCTCCGAAATCATAAAGGCTGCTATATGAAAGAACGTGTAGTTTAAGAGAAAAAACAACACAAAAAGAGGGAAATGAAAAGTAGCAAGAGGTGTTGTTTCATCCAAAGAATCAAGCAATTTGAGATCACAAAAGAAAAGTCATTGATTCTATTGATTCCGAAGAAAAAGAGATTTCTACTTGAAATTCATGAACCCTTACTTGAAAAAAAAGTTTGAAAACGAATTAAATTTCAAAGGGGTTTATTTGAAAAGACATCCGGTTTAAGAGAAAAAGCAAAACAACACAAAAAGAGGGAAATGCATTTCATGCAAGTTGAGATCACAAACGGAAAGTCGTTCATTCTTCTGATTTTGTAGAACACCACAGTCCTAATTGACAATCATGAACCCTTACTTGAAAAAAAGGCCGAAAAGAAATTTCACAATAAAGAAAGAGCATTCTATGGCTCGAAGAGCTTGGAGCTTGAAGCTTGTGTAAGCGTGGAAGAGCTTGGAGCGTCAACCTTTGAGCTTTCAAGCTCGCTCAAAGCTGCTTGAAGTTCGAAGTTCGAGGCTCGAAGCTTGAAGCGCGAAGCTCGAAGCTCGAGGCTCGAAGCTCGAGGCTCGAATGTTTTGTAGATACTGAGATTAAATGGATGAAGTTCGAAGGGGTGGGTAATATTGCAAGTATGGCAGAAATCAACTAGTCATAAAAGCTTTCCTTTACCGAAATATTCTGAAGCTTCACTACTAAGACAATATGAAAGCTTAAATTACAATAACAACGATCTACTGGTCAGCAAGAACCCTTCCTAATGCGATCTTCTCAGATGGTGGTCTCGATGATATGTGGCCAACGTGACTGCGTATTGCATCTAGCAGTATGAGACATTGCATGTTGACTTCATGGGCGTTCTTGGAGTTTTTCAGGCGCTCCACTATCACATTCTGCTAAATGGATCATGATTAGCATCAGGAGCACAATATAATCGAAATTGGTACTCACCAGCCAAGAATGCAGGTTGTCCTGATACAACTTTAGAAGAGGTCTTGTTTCGTTCAAAAATGTTGAGATCTCATGCGTCTGGCTCAGTATTTCTCTGATTGATTGAAGATTTAGGTTCAAGGCCTGACTGCTGGTGGACCCAAACGCGTCTGTGATGCGGCTGAATCTGGAACCTTGAGTCAATTTCCTTTCCATAACGTGAAGGTGGTACCTTGCATCCTCGTTGGCTTTGTTCGTGATATGAATTGTATCAAGGATACTTGTTATAGACCTTGATAGGATACTTAACGAATCACGATGACGGTCGAGGATCCTTTTGGCGCTCTGCATGTCACTGGTAGCTTCCTGACGATTGAACCAGAAGATAAACTGCGTAGTTCATAAGCATCCTGTCAGTCGTTGATATTCTGCTCAAACATCTTGCATTGGCCTTATTCACCTCACGCATGAAGATTTCAAGCTCAGTTTGTCCTTTGCCGTTGAGCTGGCGTGTCATGTCGGAGACCAAATCAATGTTATCCAAAACCTTTGTCAGCAGGCTCACAGTAGCTGATGACTCTGACAAATCCGTGAAAGTCTTCAGGACACCCGATGATTCTCGAAGCGAAAGAAAATCTACAGGTTTGAGAATTGCATGGTTGCTGAGAGACTTCATTGACTCGATGAAGGTGACCGGGGTGTGTTGGATCTTTCGAAGTTCTGTCAAGGCCCGACCTGATTTGATTTGGTCTGTTGCTTCCTTCAGCTGATCAACTTGTGTAGCAAAAGCACTTCTACGAAATCAGGACACATAGTACGCGCAACGTGAGCTATTTTAACAGCTAATCAAGTCCAGCCAGATTCCTTTACTCTGGAAAAAAATACCA